GGCTGATACTACGAAAATATTCTTGGTAACGGCGAATTTACATTTCATACAACATGAATTTTGTTCTCACCATTGGGTGCATTTATTTTCGATCATAGGCGAATTTACTTTCCGGAAAGAGTGTATAACAACTGAAGTCGCTTCATTGTGCAAAGCATGTTTTTATTTCAATAAAAAGCTTTTCTTGGTTTCATAGCAATAAGTAACGATTAGCAGAGTCAATCATGAGAGACATTGCCAAGCTTTTTCAGTTCATTGCGAACTGTGTTCCCAGAAGCTTTAGTGGTAATTAACTGTCTAATTTCTTTAAGTGTAGCACGGCTATTCGCACATACTACTCTTCCAAACTCTCTTTTCCTATCGTTGAAGATAGGGGGCCTTCCAGGCTTTGGCTTCGTCTCTACAATTCCAGTTTTTTTCCACTGTTGATAAATTCGACATACGGTTCTTTCTGAAATGTTCTCTTCAATGGCAAATTTGTGCTGCAGAAATGCCATCGCAGCGTCTGGTAACAATTTTTTCTTTTTGAGACAAAGTTAAATAAACCATTTTATGTAGCTATGAGAGAAAAATATATGAAAGAAAGAGATAATTCATCGAGCATCTTTCAAAAAACGGCTATTATCTTTTGGAGGGCACCGTACGTCGCTCCTGTGTGGCTAGTGCATCATTTGATCTCTGTTACAGATTCATTCTCCGTATGTTTGCAACCGCCAATTCCCCTTTTTCATAGACACACTCTCTACTGCTTCTTTTTTTCTTCTTCTTCTTCATACGCCACACCATGGAAGTATCTGATTATATAAATAGCGCAAAGACGTTTGCAGAGAAGGCTGCAAAGTTTTCTCAAAAAATGTCCCAAGGGCTTGTAGACAATGCTCGTGAATTAGGTCTATCTGGTGGTGACTCTGGCGCACAGTATTTTGATACTTCAGAAGAAAAAATGCGCAATATCAAGCGACAACTCGATTCCAAAAATGATAGAGAAAAATTAGACGGCTTAAAGCGACTCATTGCTGTAAGTTTGCCTTTGAAATTATATAATTAACCTTTTGAAGTTGACCCATCGCTAGATGATTTCCAAAGGAAGAGACGTTTCAGAGTTTTTTCCCGATGTCGTCAAGAATGTCGTATCACAAAATATTGAAGTACGTAAATTGGTCTACATTTACTTGCTACGATATGCAGAGCAAGAGCCAGATTTAGCTTTACTATCTATCAACTCATTTCAAAAAGACCTCAGCGACAAGAACCAGATTATTAGAGCAATGGCCCTTCGCGTAATGAGCGGAATTCGTGTACCGGTTATCAGCCCTATTGTTCTCTTGGGCATAAAAAAATGTATTTCTGATCCAAGTCCCTATGTGAGAAAGACAGCTGCCCATGCTATTCCAAAATGTTATAGGTAAGGAAGAAGCTTTGGAGAATACAATGGCTGACGTATGTTCAATACAGTCTTGATCCCTCGCAAAAAGATGCACTTGTAGATATCATCGCATCATTATTAAAAGATAGATCAAGTATTGTTATTGGAAGCACCATCATGGCATTTAACGAAGTTTGTCCGACGCGATATGATTTAATTCATCCTTGCTTCAGAAGATTATGCTCCATGTTGATCGACTGTGACGAATGGGGGCAGATGTCAATACTTAATGTGCTGTTGAGATATGGTAGAACTCAGTTTTTGAACCCCAACCCTCATGTAATATCACTTAGACACAGCCCTTCCATGCATCCTTCTGAACTGTTTCATATTATAGGGCGAGGATGAGTCACGAAGTGCACCAAAGAAGAAAACGATTCAACCTAGCAAGTCATTTTATTCAGATTCTTCAGATTCGGATGAACTAGAGGCAGATGATATACTTGAGATGGATGTTGATCATGAATTATTGTTAAAGAGCTGTATACCTTTATTACAAAGTAGAAATAGTGGTGTCGTTTTGGCAGTGGCAAAGCTATTTTACTATTTAGCCCCTGCATCAGATGCCAGCAAGGTCACAAAGCCTCTCGTTCGATTATTAAGAACGCACCGTGAGCAGGGCTACGTTGTGCTAACAAATATTGCTACCATGGCCCTGAAAAGACCAGTAAGTACTAACTTGGGAATTTGTAGATAACAGGCTGATGGCGTATTTTATTTTCACTATAGTATCTCTTTGAACCTCACCTTCAACATTTTTATGCGCAATCCACTGAACCTGTCTTTATTCGAGATACCAAGCTTGATATTTTAACAACAATTGCTACTGAAGCAAACATACACACTTTACTGAATGAATTCCAGGTAAAAAAAAAAAGTGGGCAATACTTAGTTTATATGATTGCTAACAAGTTTCAATTCTTGTAGCAATATATAAAAAGTTCCAACAAAGATTTTGTAGCAGCAGCGATTCAGGCTATTGCTCGATGTGCAACAACTGTTCCTGCAGCAGCAGATCAATGCATTCGTTTGTTGATGAAGCTTCTTCATAGCAAAAATGGTTAGTTTTCAACATAGTAAATTCATAACATAGCGCTTATATGTATACTTTTTCTTGTGGCATTAAATAGAATTGGTGATTGCAGAATCAGTACTCGTTCTCACTCGTTTACTGCAAGTTCCAAATGAAGAGCGATCAAAGTCAGTTATTGCACTTGTCAAGCTATTAGATAGTATACATGTACCCAAGGCTAGAGCAAACATCATCTGGCTTGTTGGACAATACGCAGAGATTCTGCCCAAGGTCGGCCCTGACGTACTACGTCAGGCTGTTAAAGGATTCGCTAAAGAAGTAAGGCAATAAGAAGTCCTGTGAGCTTTAGATATTGACGCCCTTGCTAGGAAAATGTGACAAAACTTCAGATACTCACTCTGTCTGCAAAATTGATATGCTTAAACCCAGAACATCCTACTTTGATCTTATTGAATCAGTATTTACTTGGCTTGGCAAGATATGACACAGATTATGATGTGAGAGATAGAGCGAGATTCATACGGGCATTGACCGTACCTCAATCATCTGGCGATAAACCGGGACTGGTTGTATTGAAACAACATTTGAAGGATATTTTGCTGTCAAACAAGGAATCACCCATCATCGAAAGCGATACAAAGGGTAAGTGTTTTCTTTTTCTTTTTTTTATCAATTGTTAATCGTTTAGTAGATGCTTCTGATTATATGATTGGGTCCCTTTCTCTTTTGGCGCGCCAACCACTTCCTGGGTATGAACCGTTACCTGACTTTCCTGAGGAGCAACCAGATTCTAGTGTGCGTGACAATGATGAATTGGAAGGATGGAGTGGTAGTCGCACGACTATTATGGAAACAGGCTTTGGAAACGATAGCTTTGAATACCGAAGCAGGCCGTCTACAGCATTATCTGGAATAGAAGCCTTAGGCAGCTCATCCATGTATCCAGTGGCAGCAAAAAAGAAGGGCAATGAATACGATTTGGATGCATTTTATGATGAGGCAAGTGAGGAAGAAGAATCTTCAAATGAAGAGTCGTCATCAGAGGATGACACTGAAGATGATACAGAAGATGGTACAGAAGAAAGTGAAGAGGAAGAAACAGAGTCAGAGGAAGAAGAAGAATCTTCAGAAGAAGAAGAGGAAATACTTCATCATCAAAAGAAACGATTCTAATATCTTGTAATAAAACTGTAGTTATTTCGGAATGTAATCTTTTCCAATATGCGAGTATAAAGATGATAAATAGTTTAATAAAAAGCGAAAGGAGGGGTAACAGTTTTCAATTATTATTATTATTTTCTAATAGTTGTTTAAACAGATCCAACGATCTCATCAGCCTTTTGCAAAGCCTCAATCATCTTCTTGCATTCCTTTCTTCGTTGCTGTGTAAATTCAGATTCTTGCAATAAGTCCTTTAATACGTCGGCATTATATAGTTCTGACAGCAGCTCGCGTTGAAGCTCTTCTTTAGCATGGCTGACTAACTTTAACATGATAGCTTTGGGAACCATGTCAATCATGGTTCTCTTGACGATATCAAAATAAGATTGAATTAAAAGCTCTACAAGTAAAATAGGGTTAACAACAGGGACGCTTCTTTCATTTATAGCAAAACTTACTAATAACTTCAGTTTCCATAAATTCACGTTCTGAAAGTGCTCCAGTAGCTTTTAAAGTAGCTGGTGGCTAAATGAAAAAAGTAAATAAAATTATCAAGCTGTGTGTAAAGAAACTTACAGCTTCCATTAATGCACCTGCCGATTTCTTCGTCTTTTTTGGGCCAGAGAAGAAGCTACCAAAGAATGATCCATTCATGTCGCTGGTGGGAGAGTGTCCATTTGTCTGAAGTGGAGCCAATGCTTGTTTGTGATTGCCGTTGGTTAGCTGTTTATCGGTTGCAGTGTTGGGTTGGGTCTTTGCTTGTAATTTATCATTAACGAGGGCAATTGCTTTATGACCACTCATAAAGTCAGGATGAGCAGTATTAATATAGCAAGCTTCCATTCTAAGGTAAACGGTTAACCTATTTCCTTTCCTTTTTGTCTGAAAAAGACTTACGAAACAAGGTCAGTGACAAGTTTGGTTGTTGGTGACACAGCTTTCTTGAAGAATGACAGGACGACTTGATAAAACTTTTCTTTTAAGAGAGGGAAACGCTTGAAGAATTGCTTATTCAATAACTGGCCGAGAATTCGAACTAGTTCATCGTACACCATATTGATACACTTCACACTTGGCTCTTCTAATCTTTTAATTTGTTGCTTTATGATGACTTCGAAAGCAGTCGTAGCTACAAATAGGGCTGGAGATGAACCCTAGATGATGCTGGTGAGACATCACGCTTTATGAGAATACAAGCAACTTACTGAAGAATTATAGAGAATGGTACGAATATCGACGTCCTTGATTTGATCTAATGGATCTATGCTCTTGACGCCACTGGAATAAAGTTCGTGAAAGACAAAGCTGATTCTTGCACCGCCGGATAGCTCGAAACTGGTCAAGTCATTGGAAGTACCATCGATGATCGTTCTAAATTCCGTACAAAATTCGGTAATAATATTTAGCACAAGGTTTGCTTGTCCAGAACTGGATCCATCATTCAAGGGATCACCTAATTGAAATAGTTCTTGTTGGTATTTTGCTAAAGCAGACTGAATCTTTGCTTTGATTTCTGGAAGACTGTTGCGAATATGGTGCATCAATATCTAATTTTGCATATAAGTAAAAGATCACTCAAGTTATAATTCTGTGTACTTGCCATGTTTAATTTACGAGCTAAAAATGGTGTACCACAATATTGTGCCTTGCTCTTGTAGGAGGGATGGTTCTCAAAGAATTCTCTTTCAGCGTCCAAGGCCTTTGCGATTGATTTCTTAGAATCAATATCTCGCTGTCCACGGTTGACAACAGGGACATAGCCTAATTTGAGAGGAATGATTCTACCAGCCAAGATGTCGATCACATCGGTGCCTTGATCCATTAAATCAACCTTTGTCAATACACCAATAGTTCTTAAACCTTCGGGATCCACTTCTCTAGCTAATTTCAATCCATCTGAGTTTGCCAAATCAACATTCGCAGCAGTAACAGCCAAGATGATAGCGTTGGGCTTGGTGATATATTTGAGAACCATATCACGAATTTGTTTTTCGATATCCTTGGGTTGGTCGCCTACAGGGACTCTGGTTACACCTGGAAGATCAACCAAGGTCAAGGTAAGCACGTTGGGAGAGAATACACGAAGGTTAATGGGCTGAGGTGAAATGCCAAGGTTTTTGCCTGTCTTAAGCTCTGTATCCTTTACGATTTCTTCACGGATTTTGTCAAAGTCATAGAATTTTTGTCCAGGAAGGTGGAGGAATTCACCCCACTCTTGCTTATCTGGACCGTCAGCTTCTGAAGCAGCTCTGTTGATAAGTTGTAGGACCTAGCATATACATAAATGCTCAGCAATGCTGTAACTTTTTTTTTTTTTTTCTAACTGAATTCCCTTACCAAAGGTCTACGAGTAACAATGCCTGTTCCTCGAGGTAAAAAGTCTCTGCCAACAATATTCTCCAAGACTGAACTTTTACCACTCGATTGTGAACCAATGACTACAATCTGAGGCAAATCTACGGGGTTGTGAACGCCAACAGTAGCGAATGCATCCTGTAACTTATTTACTTTTTTAATCGCGTTAGCTTTGTATTAAGGATTTTGTCTTTTATTTACCAGTTTTAATAAGTTGAGAATCCATGAGGATGTGAATGGAGAATAAATAAAGAAAGAGACAGAAAGATACACGGCATCTATACATAGTTACTGGCGGCTTTTTAAGCAAGTTTGTTAATGTTACACTAATACCATCTTTCTGATTGGTTATTAAAGATTCATAGGAATAGGCTGAGCAATGATTTCATTCTTGCTTTATGCACAGCTGTCTTCAGGGCCATGATGAGATGAATGGATCATAAACAGGGAGGATAGTATATGGTAGCTTCTACAAAGTGAGATAAAGAAGTAGCCAAGCCACGTGTGTTCTTCCCCTTAATCAAAATTTCAAGGGGACGATTTGCCGCACTTGACTAGGCATTTAGAAGAATGCCAAGCAAAGACTTGAGCTTGAATTATAAGAAGCTTTTGCTAAAATTGTCGTCAATATCCCCATTTATAAGCACTTGTAATACTTTAAGTTTTCTCTGGACAGTTTTATCACAATGGTTCAACTTTTTTATGTCGTTGAAATTGCCTCTTTTGAGGTTGTGGATATTTTGAATATTAGTAAGCCTTTTCTTTAACATAAAACGAGGCTGCATGTCGTATTGATTTGAAATAAATATAAATAAAGACGTGATTCCTCAAAAATGGCTTACTCTGATCTCTACAGAGTATATGATCACAGTCGACTATTGTTTTTCTCAAAGCAGCGTTGGTATTGATCTCTACATCGCCTTCCATTCTTTCTGGTATCTATCTCGCTGCATTCTTCTTGACACAGCTTAAAAGTACTCTTTGGATATCTAGTATCTTAAGACGATACTGCTTCCTATTATCAAAAGCAGATCAGAACAATTCCAAAAGGTTAGAACCACTACAAAAAAAAAAGATTAGGTCAGTTCAAAAGGGTTTATACGAGTTCATTTTTAAGAATAATATGAATATACAATTTATTACAATGATAACTAAACTATAGTACATGTTAGAAGTATCCTCGTCTTCCCGAGTATACATCATATGGATCAGAATATGGAGTATGTGAATAATAGGGTGTACTACTGCCATAATAATAACCATTAGAATGATCATACATACCACTAGGATAACCACCCGGCGTACTCGGATACTGAGGCATGAAAGGCTGCTGCATCTGTGGCTGTTGAGGGTATATCGAACTAGACGGGTATAGCGAGGAAGGTGGGTATACAGAGTTTGGTGGATAACCGCCCATCATCTGCTGATAAGGATTTACCATCATTGCTGGTTGCTGCATCATATTTGCTGCTGTTCCTATGGCACCATTAGAAGGCATAGACATACTCATGAGTAGTTGATTTAGCATAGCAGGGTTCATCATTGATTGCTGATATGGATTACTATTCATCATTAATCCTCCTGGTGCTCCCATGGTTCCTCCGTTGCCTGACATAAGCATCATAGCCATCATCATCGCTTGCTGTTGTTGTTGAGGTGGCATTTGCTGAAATAGCTTTACTTGCTGCTGTAATATATCTTCTCCTCCTGTTGTTGGCATTCCCATTCCCATCATTCCCATGTTGCCCGTCGGATTCATTACTGGATGTGGCATTACGTTCATAGATGGAGGCATGACACCTGGCATCATGGTGGGCATCATGCCATACCTGCCCATACCAGTCGGGTCCATACCTCTATATCCATATCCTGCAGCTTCTCGTAACTTTCGCTTTACCATATCAAATAGCCCTCCTTGAGGCTCAGGCATCCCATACATAGGCTGTTGTGGCATAGGTTGTGGTTGTTGCTGTGGTATATGCTGAGGTTGTGGCTGTGGCTGTGGTTGCTGCTGCTGCTGTTGTTGTTGTTGCTGTTGCTGGTGTTGAGGTGAGCCTGCTTGATGCGGTTGCGGTTGCGGCTGGGACATGGATATACTGTTGTAGCAAAGAAAAATATATAAAAGAAAGGTAAAGGCCAAATATACACATTTATGCCATATATGGTGTGTTATTGTTGTTACAGGATTTACCCGAATTACCTCACAGCCTTTGTTTTCGGTTTTCCTGATTTGTCAAGATCGCTTTTCGTTGCACCAAAATCCAGGAGAATCTCTTTTCATTGTTGTTGTTGATGATGACTTTGAAACTAAATGAATGAAAATTAAGAGACCATTTCAGGTTGTTTTTTTTTTTTTTGAAATATAAGAAAAGACGACATGCAAGTCGTTGAGGCCCTGCTTGACACTGGACAAGTAAAATACGGGAATAAATCACATCAAAAGAGAATCGAACTATTCCATTCTCTTTTTTAAGTTACGCACTGCAAAGTCTATGCTCTGTGCTATTGTATAATCTGTTACTCTATGACCAGTGGAATGATATACAAGCTAAGCAGAGCAAGTTCAACTGAGCTTAACCCTGAAAACGAGAATCAACAATCTCAAATGTTTAACCCTCTTTTCAAAACTTGTACGAAATGTTTTTGTTCTTTTTAGCAATTTCTACAATAATGGAAAGGCCAGCCAGAAAATAGGCTAATGCTAAGGGCGCTTCTTCTCCCATACATGTAAGGCTGTTCAATGGAATTTCCACGTGATTGATCCTGGTTCTTTATGGCTACTTTTAAAAAGTAAAATAAACGCGTCCTTTTATATCCTCATTTCTCGTATTTGTCTATTTTGACCTTACTCTCTCTGAAAGTAAATAATGCCTTTTTAATACTTTGATTTAAAACACGTAAGAATAGTGCTTTACTAGCCGTTGTAGATTTGATTTTAATGCCATCTCTTATATTTCAGACTAAAGATTGAAAAATGTACCTGCAGCATATTGGAGAGCGGTAAAAAGAAAGGTGTGTATAGCCTTATTTGACTGGATCATAAAAAGATGGTTATCTACTTTATGGATTCTAGTTCCTCTGCCGTTGTTTACCGAATAGTGAATCTATTCTTTACATTCTTCTCTTTCAAAAGGCAACAATATATGATTATCGTCAATAATGACATTAATATTGACTATGAGACTGCA